GTAGCAGTGCACGCAGCATTGAATAAACATTACAAATGTATACATTTCATGAACAGAAATTGACTATGTACCAACAGGTATAGAATAAAGAGTAAAATAAAGTAAAGAAACTTTAAATGCTTACTTAATTGCTCTTTCTGCAAATTATACATAAATTGTGTAAATATAAACTAAAACTGTAATGGCACAAATACGGCATTTTTGCTGCAATTGGAATTACAAAAGAGAAATAAAAATGTATCAGCCTTCAGTTATGATTGAAGTACTTTTTTTCTTTCGACTCTTCCGAGCAGTTTTTTTTCTTGCAACATTATGCCGGCATTATTTTACCACTGACAGTGAAAGCAATAAATCAAAGCCTTCAGTCTCACCATGATACTAGAACATAAACAAGAAGAAAATGTGGTGTAAACCCTCATATACATGAACATTTGTTATTTTTATCCAGTCCTGATTCTATATTGATTTCATGTTTATTTTGTGTACAGTATACAGCACAAATGTCAGAACAGACAAGTCACACAATGGTAATAATTACAGCATGGCAACACTTGGCTATTGTCATTCAAAATAGAGATCATTTCCACTCTGTAATAATATGATACAATACATTTATAAGAACCACTGAATTTCACAACACTGTCCCCTGAGCACAGTTACTGCTCTGAAAAGTGCTCTAATTATTTATATGTTTATTTGGATTTAACTCACACATAACTCTTGTTTTATTCATAAAAGGCCTTTGGTGTGTGTGTGTGATTTACGACAGCATGTCCATGGTGTGTTTTAAAGTGAGCTTTCCGCTCTGTGCCCTCCTTGGTTTGATGCCACAGCGGTTTGCCTCGGGGCACAGTGGCACCGCTTGATTGATGGTGCTGACAGAACATTTGCAGCAACAGAGCATCTGTCACATTCCTGGACTTCTTTTATTTCTCAGACAGGTTTTACCAGTCCGACTGCTTCTACAATCCACCTACATCACATTATAGTCTGTATAAACACCAATTTGATTTTATTATTACCACTGGTTACATGTTCGCATGTATGTGCTCTGTGAAACCAGTATAGAGAGGACACCCAATAATCTTTATTACTCACTCTATGAAGATTTACTGTCACTTTATGAAAAACAAAATGCGCCACAACTCAGACCACTGCGAGCAACTCGTCAATCCCCGAGTTTCAAGACTACACAGCAGATGAATGAGATTCTATGAGGGGTTTAGGTTGGCCAACTCCACCAACACCCTGAGAAGAATGCAAAAACAGTTTTGTCTCAGGCCCCCACTGTGCTCTGCAGAGGATTTGTATGGTTTCACTTAGAAAACAGCCTGTTGTTGTACACAGGACACTGTATGGGAGTAAAAGTTAGTCGTAATAACTTCCTTGATTTGCTGCATGGAATTTGTACAAGTGATTATATCAGCGGTTAATGCTAATGCTAAAAAGAAGGTTTAATGTTATTTGATGCACATTTTGTCAATCTTCCTTTGTTCCATCTAACCTCAATAAACACTATGCTATATTTTGCCACTGATCTCAAACCTTAAAGACTATAATCCACCTTATTTCCATGACAAATACTGTTCTCTGTGCTATAGCACAGACTCCATAAAAAACATCCCATCCAAAACTTGGATATGCAATACTATCTCTGTAAAATGACCATTTTTATTCAATCTTTTTTGTTCCCATCAAAAGGCCATTTTATTCTCTGCAATCTTAATGGTTACGAGATATTCAGCAAAGCACTGCTGATCTGCAGCTTGTTGTTAGGACTCCCATGGAGAACACAATCTTACTTTGGAGAACTGTGGCCGCCGCCATACAATTCCATCAGCATAAAAGCTTCAAAAACACTTACACACAAAGTATAGGGGCGAGAAAAACACTACTTCAAGCAACAGGAATCGTTTTCCACCCGTGCTTGTGGATTGTGTCAACTTCTATTTTCATACTATACAGAATATGATAAAATGTGAACATTTTTTGGTGAAATATATGGTTTGAATTAGTATTTTTTTGTAGGCGTGTATCTTCCCTCATTGTTGAGGGAAGGGAGTAAGACTGTAAACATAACAAAGATGCTATTTTTGTGCATATTTGAAGATTGAGGCTGAGAACTGTAGCGACAGCGAAGGGGAGGACGCACATATTCATCAATCATAAATTAAATAAAAAGTGTGAATAAAAGGTTACCTCCTTTACAAATAATCATTTCAACTGACCAATTCTTTTGGCCAAATACACCTGCATGCAGCATGTGACCTTCTAAAATCAGCATCACTTAACAGATTTAATTATAACTGTCCCCGCTCTGCTACAGTCAGTGTCAGCTGTGTCTTTTAATTCTCTAATCAGTGGTCGGCAGGTCCGCTATCGGCGTCCCCATGCAGCTTCCCACTCAATACAGACATCCCAAAACACACACAGACTGGTTTTTGTCAAATGTTTTATTGAGTGTAGACATCTGGGCTACTGTAAAACATGCATTATCTGCAGAAGGGGAAGAGGAGCAGGTGGCATTGTCCCCGCTGTCAGCTGTGTCAGTGCTGGCACCCGTGATGGAGATTAATGAAGTATCTGGAGAGTAATATGCTCCTTCAAATGCTGCTACAATTTGGAGTGGGGGCCAATCCTGATCTTAAATAGCAAAGCTGTCAGAGTTTACTGAACCTGTGCTTTGGCACCCGAGGTGGGATTTGATCCTACAGGACGGGGGGGAAAAGAACTGGCGGTGTGTATCAGCCAGGAAAAGAGAGGTAACAATAAAGTCAGCTATGTAAACAAACAGATTGTTCTTGTGTTACTTTTTCTTTGGTGCATTTGGTGCGTTAAATTTGAAAAAGATGATGTCTCCATCTTCCACGACGTAGTTTCTTCCCTGTTGTCTGTATTTCCCAGCTGCCTGTGAGGTAGAAATAAAATCTGAATCAAAAGCCAACAATCATAAAACAAACAAAACATTTTAGGATGCACAGGCTATAGACAATATAGAGCCCATAATAACAATGTATGTTATTAAATAGAAATAGAAAATATTAGCACAAGATTAGTTTCCATTATATATCATTGCCTTCAATAACTTTACCCCAAGTGCAAGACGTTCTCTCACACACGCACACACGCACACACGCACACACGCACGCACACACACACGCACCCTCGCACGCGCGCGCCTTTCAATGTTTTTTTTCCAATGGGGCGCCTGAATTCCCACTGAGTGGATAATCCTCTCCTCTGCCCATTCCAGTTTCATGTACACAAGCACAAAATGTTAATAAGTCTTTGATTACAGCACTATCAAACTTCTTGAGGAAACAGAATAAGTTCTAACATTTCTTTTGTGTACAGTAAGTGTTTGTTCTCCTTCCTGGCCAACTCAAAAATAATTGACTTGAAGTGCTAATACGGACAGGTTTATGCATTCTGGTTCTGCACAGCGCACAATTAATTAGAAGAATCAATGTCCCTTTAAAGGCTCAGGAGACCATTTAATCCAAGCTCAATACCACCAGAAACACTGGATGGAGAGGGAGACGGGGGAAGAAAATCAATGGCTATTTGTGATTCCTGAGTGTGTATTAAACCAGACATGTCTAACTGGTTCATTTGCACTTGAAAGCAGCCATCTGGAGCAGCAAGCTTGGCTTAAGCAGATATGATTACTAATAATGTGATATCCTCGTACACTGGCCCTATTCAGACGGCCTATTCCCACAACTGGCATTAAATAGCACAGGCCCTAATGCCACAGTCAGAACTGCTCCATGTTCTTATGAGGCTCAAAAAGGGATTAGTGAGAGAGCATGCAGTAAGGACCTGACACTCAGATCTCCACCCCCGATAACAATGGCTGAACCCCCGAGAGACCGGCTCGTTTCACCCTCTGTTTGCCGCTTATGAGGGGAGTGGACAATAATACTGCTGCTGCATTAAATATAAAATGCTTCTTTAAAAACAGAGACTTGAATAGTAAAGAGATTTGAATGTTTTCATAGTGCTCCCTGCCACGCTGGTCCCCGCAGGTCCCTGTGTGTCACTATAAGATCACATCAGTGGAGTCTGTGAGTGGGCGCATGGAGGTGATGGTGGGATTGTAACAGCACGTTACAGCTGCTGCCAACAAATGTCACATATGCGAGCAAGGTTAACTTCTACTTTAATTCAGTTGATAACATCCGCCAAGGAGGTTAGGTTTTTGTCTCTGTTTGTTTGTCTGTTATTTATCAAAAAATAAAAGATGGATTACCACAAAACTTAGTGGATGGATGCTGTATGATTCAGGGATGAACCCATTGAATTTAGGTGTGGATCAAGATCATGGAATTTTTTTCACTTTCTTTTACATTGCAAAATGTTTTATTATTTTTTCCTTTATTTCTCAGAGAATAATTCATGACACCCAGAAACTACAACCTAGGAAACTAAGGGCCATAAGAATTACATTTAAAAATGTGTCTATACAGAAAATACAGTTAAATATTCAAAAGAAAAATCGAATATGAAAGGCATTCTGTTTTGTTGATTATTAATTCTGTATCACCAATTACTACAGCTTTATTGATATGACTCCAAATTGATGCTAAAGCTGAAGCGACACTTGTAAAGAAAATCATTTTGAATCACTGGCAAAGTACCTGCTGCAGCAGACGCCCAGTTATTGTCTCCACAAATTCACCATGAAATCAGTTATTACATTTGACAGCAGTGTGCACATGAACAACCCACATCCCAGTTAAAAGGTCAAAACAAACACTGGCTATCATAAAAAAAAAATAAGATATGCAAGTCACATTTATGTGCCACGCAGCCATGAAACAGGCCTGATATGAGGAATTTCACACTTTATTTAACTTGCCGCTTTATATCACTGTCACATGCCGGCAGTGGCTTGGGGGATTTGGCAACAGAGAGCAGTAAGCTAACAGCGCGCTCTATAGATCTGCTAAATGCCTGGTGAGGGTGAAGAAGTGCTGCCTCTGTGCTACTGAGCTGAGCCACGAGAAAGAGGCACCATCAGCCAGTTAAGACACATTGTGATAAAGATATGCACAGCTGGATCAGAATGGCAGTGTTTAGAGCCAGAATCAGCTGGCTTGTCAGGAGCGGTGCCGGAGTGTGCTGCAGTAATTTCTTCCCCCGAGTAAAGGTGAGGAGCAGTTTGCAGTCGGGGCAGTGCGGTGACTGTCAGCTCCACTGATCACAGGAGACTTCCCCTCATCTCCTCTGGCACCCTGACTGCTCACCTTGACAGAGCTCTCGCTGCCTTCCTCTTTAAAATCCTGGAATTTCATTACTTCCGCCATAATGAAGCCCCTCTCAAAGTCTGTGTGGATCTTCCCCGCAGCCTGTGGAGCCTTAGTTCCTTTCTGTCACAGGGAAGGAAAAGAGAGGACAAATGAATTGTTTTGGAGAAGATGGATTACAGCATGCCAGCGACACAGTGTTTGATAGGGTGATAGCGTCGTGAGCATCACTCCGGGGTGTTTTCAGTCGGGGGTATTCTTGCCTCAGTCATGATTTCTGGATAGCTTTCCACTCGGCCGTGCCCTGCTAAGGGCGGCCTGGACACCGATAAGGACCCAGCACTGCTATCAATGCCTTCTGATTCTCATTCCGTGGCAGTATTGATTTCTGTCCAAGCAATCTTGCCTCATTGTGGGTCACTGCTCGGCTCTCTGGTCATGACAGCAAGAAGACCTGGTGTTGCAGTGAGAGGCCATGGTGGCACAGAGCTCACTGCATCAGGCCTCACTGTTGTGATACTCCAGAGTTTGGTAAAATCCAAACACTTCACTGTTGAAGATGCAGGGCTACAGTGCTAGAGCATTTCAGTAGATTGACTTCCAAAAATCTTCCAAACAGCCCAGCACAAAGCACAAAATAACAATTCAGTGGATTTATAAATTGGCTGCACTCTGAGTTCTCTTTTGACTGATAAAATGTGCAATTTATATGCTCTAAAATCAAATGACAAATGCCCCAAATAAGTGACGTGGCTGCTGCGTATCCTCCTGACTCCTGCCCGTCGACCTGCTCGCTGTCTCCCTGCTCTGCAGCTCCGTGCTCAGGAACTGTTGAGCAGTTTTAATTATGTATATAATCAGGTTGGGGTCAACATATTTCATGCCAAAAGAATGATGCGTATTTAATGACTCTAATACATTACCATCTCTTTGCAATCTCACTGACGGAGTGCTTGTGAGTTTAACTACCATTAATCAGCATCAAGGTTTGTCTATCTGGAGAAAAATAGATTAAGGGAGGGATTTTTTTCATATGGGCGCATTACAAGAGCTCCACATTGTCCTAGTTAAGAGCTATGCAGAGCAGGTTGATAGATAATGGTCACCTCGAGGCTGCCTAATAAACCATGTTAAAGGACTTGGGAACACGACATTACTGAGTGTAGTTTTTACAATGCAAGATGTATTGGCTTAATATAGTTACTCACTGATGCTTACCTGACTAAATGCCCCTCACACACAATCAAGGCTGCCTGTAATCAGTTATGTTGAGGGGGGACAGGCGTGTTTTTGAGGATGTCTTTGAAGTGTTTGAGACTTTTTTTTGGTAAATAGCGAGGACATCAGTCACACTGAGACGAGTTTAAACCTGGTGATGTCATTCGGATTAAACGTAACGTGTCCTGTGTAAATAAGAGGGAGTGAGCTCACCTTCCCCTCTGGCCCGTAACAGTCACAGAGCCATAAAAGAAAAAAACCTGTGACTAAACTTTGGATGTGTTTAATAGGCTGCTTTCAGACATGCACTAAACTCCGCAGATCCATTTTCTCCAGAGGAAGAGCATGTGTAAACGCAAATGTCAGATTGAGAAGCTTCGCAGTTCCTTCTGACTTTCTTCGTCTGGCCTCGGTAGAAAGTCAGGAGAATACAATTTGTGTGAACACAGAAGTGGATCCCCAGGTGTGTTGTAAAAGGCAAAAAGGCAAATCTAATTCTCCAGGATCTGCAGGAGATGTCTGAAAACGACTGTACCGTCTACAACTTACCCTTATTTAGTGGTTTGTTATTCTTGTTATATGATGCAATCAGTGGCAAAAGAATCCAGACAGTTATTGCAGTTTGCCACACTGATATAAAATTAGCATTTCTGATCAAAATGTGAATATTTGTCTGAAGCAGCAGCATGGGGCATCCTGTTGGCAGGAGGTCTGAGGCTCATACTGTATAACTGAAATGTCTTGTGTTCATATCTGACCAGGGGGTTTGTCGCACAACACATCCTGAAATAATCTTCAAAAAGAACACGCAGCGTCACAGTTTGGTTATGGTGCGTTTGTACATATTCCAAAAAATCACAGATATACAGTATAAGATAGTGTTGTGAATTCATTACAGCGTTTTTGTGAGTTAAGAACCATATTATCACACAAATTGTTAAAAAGGTACTTTGTGGACTAATGTGAAATATATTCAGATCATATTTATTGAGCATTTATTATTGAATGTAGGTTTATTTATCTTGCCATTTAGTAAATATCAGTATTGATTCTGGTCACACATTAAACACTTTCTCATTTTTTCACATTGATTTTGCAAATGAAATTTTGAATATTGAGAAAATGAAAATCCACGAGTTAAAAATGTGATGTTTGTTTCTCACTTGTGAAAATAACAGTTGAGGCATTAAAAATGTTCACAATACAAACATTCACAATACAATTCAACAGCACCGTCAACTGCAGCCTCTGAAATGACCATGCATCTGAATAAACACCTTTCTGAAAAGTTCCAACACCAACTAAACATTCTAACCTTCATGAAAGGAGGCTATATCGCAGGACATCTGACTGCAGTAGTTTAAGCTCGGTGTACCTTGTAAACTGCTCACATTTTTCTTTCTTCCTAATCAAAATAAGATATTAAGCATATTTGACAAGATGATTTGGAGGAAGTTCTTTGACATTAACCACTCCTCCACTATGCAGTGTAAAATTCATTGAACTATCTAATGAGCCTGAATTAGATACAATGCAAATGTTTCATTTTAAAAAAGTTAAACCACCTGCACTGGTTTATATTATATCACTCCCGACTGGTCAGATACCTGATTATATCTGTACTCAATTCTTCTGTTTGCTCAAGAAAAAAACAACAACAACACAATAAGAGCATGCAAAGCCAACATCTGTATTGATGTAAGTCCTGCGATCCCGTCGCACAAAGGTCTTGGCGGGCCGCGCTCAGTAAACTGAGACACACAGGGAGGAGGAGCCCCCAGCAAGGCCCACAAACAGTCGAATGAAAAGCGACATCAATTTTGGCACAGACAGCCTCCGTCACACAGATTAGGCAGGCACAATGCACAGGCTCCTTATCTCCAGCGGCAGGAGGAGGGCAGGCAGATCTGCACAGGATGGAAACATTCTCATGGACGTAATGGGCAAAATCAATTGTTGCCCTCCTCAATCAATGTAGCCCCCACTTTCACTGTTCAGCAGCTCACCAGTAATTGAAGTTATCCTTGGCCTGTAATGACTAGCTAAAGCACAACCATGACAAAGTTGAAAGTGTGTGATATCAGTGAGGGTGCCAGCAGGGTGGAACGTGGGACACAGTGTGTATTCCTTTGTGTGTGTATGTGTGTGTGTGTACATGTGGTGCACCCCCCCCCGTTCTCTCATGTATGTCTACAGCAGCCAGCTGGCTCTTACCCGAACGGTCCACGCACGGACCTCATCTGGTCCGGCAGTGAAGAAGTACTCCAGCTGCAGGGCTGCATAGCCTGCCTTGATGATCCTGCTCAGGGCGCTGGTGGAGACAGAAAATCCAGCTTGAATCAAGGGGTATGAACTGTTTAAGTATTCTTTATTGCTACTGACGCCAAGACAAAGTTCACTTCAGCAGCAAGGCCCCATTCATTCCAATATAAACTCATTAAGTGAATAAGATGGGTCACTTCGCTCCATGTGAGACATTCAACTCTCCAATGGTTTCTTTGATTAATTACAAAGCTTGTAGACTCATTTAGCATTTTTAAGAATTCAACCCAATGCCTTGTCCTGCGTCGAGAGAGGAAAAAAAAATCTGCTGTCACAATTTTTCTCTCCATAGAGGTTTTCACACAGGAACAATAAACCCAAAATGCCCAAGTTATAATTATACCTACAGATGACAGATGACAGTTAAAAACTTAATTTAGAGGAAAACCCTTTGACTGAGTTGTTCGGTAAGAAGAGGGATCCTTTTCTTTATGATGGTAATTACTCTGCCATTTATTATTCTATCAGCACATGCAATTAAAGGAGTGCATGGAGGACACAGCTGATAATAAGTGTGGGGAGACTGAATGCTAATTAACCTCTGCGTCTTGTGCTCTGTGCAGTACTTCTGCATCTCCTCGTCGCTGGCGTCCTGGAGCTGGCTCTCCAGGCCGCCGCTGAAGGGGATGACCAAAGCCCCGGGGTCATGACTGTCCACCCACTCCTTGATTTTCACCAACCTGTGTAAAAAGAAAAAAAAGAAAACAACGGCCACAAGAACTAGTTGGACAAGACTTGATTAACACGAAAGTATTCGCTCTCTGCCGGTTGCATGCATATTCATGAGAGCAGCTGAACATATGAGTGTTTGCAGGAGACTGCACTCCAAAGACGGCTTTTCCATCCGAGTTTGACTTTTGTTTCCACAGAAGTTTCCAGCTAAACGTTTGATGTGACTGACACAAATTTAATGTGCCCTCCGTGACTTGTAGATGGAAAAGTTGCAATATGAAAATTGTTTTAAAGTATTAAAAAACAAAAGTGCTCATTATGCAAAATAAAAAAAATGAAAATATATATTGTTCAAAAATCATATTTCTTAAAGCCATTTCAGTTTTAGATTATATTACGTTGTTCAACGAATGTTCTAGATATTGCCTGTATCTTTAAAAAAGAAACTATAACACAAGGTGATGCACAAGAATTATGGAAAAAATTAATGATGACTTTAAAAATGACTAGTAATATTCTTATATTGTATCTGTAGATTGTATGTAATCAGTCAATCAATCAAATTTTATTTGTGTATGCCAAATTCACAAATCACAATTTGCCTCATACAGTTTAAGAATCTGTATAATCTCTACAGGGATCCCAGGTTTAAGATTCCACACTTATTATCTTGCTTTGTTGCAGAGGTTGTGTTATTTACTATTAGTATTTTATCTGGAATTCTTCCTCTGTTTTTTTTTTATTGAATTAATTGAATTGGACGGAGGGCAGACACAGTCTCTGGGGTTTGGATGTGTGACTGATCTGTGATTACAAGACAATACTTTGTTTTTTGATTTTTTTTTTTGTATTATATTTTTAATTTTAACTCCCTGAACTGTAAGCTGTGAGGGAATGATATAAAACATACAAAACTTCCATCTGGAATATTACGCAGAGATATAACGTAGCGCTGAATTGAAGTAAAAGTGCTTTAGAATTGTATTTAAGTAAATGTACGTTGCTTCCCACCACAATTTGCAACACCAACAGAAAGCTTCAGATCTTTTCACATTTTTCTATAAAAGAATAAAATAAAGTTGTTCACCTAATGAGAGTCTAACTGAACATTAACCATAAAGCCAGGAGGTAGTAGACAAGCTAACCACAACGTCCTCTCCACTTATAAACTTCATTCTCTCAACTGCTTGAGTTTTTTGTGTTCTTGCAGTCCAGCAGGACACCTGACATTGCAGGACAAAGATATCCTTACACTTAATGGTAACTTGCAGTCAGAACAATATAAGGGGGTTAGGGCAATTATGAGATTAGCCCCACAAGCTATTGGGCTGGGATTGGACAGGTTTTAAAGAACAGCATCACACAAATCCATTTTCACACGGCGGCCCTGACAGAGCTCCTGGGCTGGATTGATTCCAAGGGGTCCCCGTCATTATCTGTAATCCTAGTTTCCTGTTTAAAGCCCATAACAATCAAAGACTGGGAGGGACCCGACCACCTCAGTCCCACATCTATTCCAATAACAATGTCACCGCTTTATCATCTACAGCACCATATCACTGCTGCTACCTAATGATTATCAATATACAATATATGACAGAGGACCGGCTGCAGGAAGATCACAGTTTTGCTTTGATTGGTTGTTTTTCCCAACAAGCCACAGGGTAAATTTCAAATGCCTCATATGCCAGTTTGTCTGTCTGTTCAGATGCACATCTATTAAGAGCCGTAACCTAATATTTCCCTCTCTGCTCACACTACACTGTATACACAGAGCTGGTGTGCGTCTGCCGCTGATATAAGGTGGCAGCCGATGTCTCACCAACAAAGGACAGGAAAATAAAACACATTTAGTCAAATCCAAAACCCTGAAAACACAGGAGATGGCAGGCGCTCCGAGGAGGGAAAAAAATCCAATCTGAGATAATAACAGCTGTAGTTTGTCACTTTTAGCAGCACAGCTGTCTATTTGGTGGCACGTTATTTGCATTCCTCAGGTATTGCGTTCTCTACAGGCGGCTGAATAATGATTCACAAATCACTCTCTCCACACCAGTCAAGGGCTGTGATCCTTTGAATAGACCATTGTACCTGAGACTGTAATTGGTGAAGACTTGACAGAGCCGGGACCAAGCTAGCCAAGTAACAAAGAGGCTCTTGGTGGAAGGCTGAGGGATGATTTTAATAATGTGGAGCCGAGACGGAGAACGTGAGCTGCAAATGAGCATGGGGGGTTCTCTGGGTCCTCGCACTGAGTGACACGGGACCAGACAAACACCTTGCACCAGGAACATGAAACTCCCCCTTCTCCCAACTCTAGAAACAAAGCACTGTCAATTAAGAGCTGTGATGCTCCATCAACATGACTCCCAAAACCAGTCCTGTCAACTTCATGGCCGCCGCGCTGCAAGTTGCATTTATGTCCTCACCCAATTATTTGTGTGGATTTTGGTGTAAATTGGGGAAAATGTTTATGTAAAACACACAGCTAGTGTTTCTATCTTCTATCGTATCTGTCTGTCATTCATGCAATTCTATAGCATACATGTAAATCTGTATTCCAGCAAAATGTTATGTGTCCTATAGATCAAGGCCTGTTCACAACTATGCACATTTTATATTTCTCCTTTTTTCTTATTAGCAATATGTTTTAAGAGAAAACAGATATTAATCTACAGGCATTTGAGAATTTGAATCTATAGTGAAAACCTAAAAACGTTTTAAAAGACTAAGCTTCAAAAAACATGTGTGTGTGTATGTGTGTGTGTGTGTGT